GTGTGTGTGTGTGAATATTCTGGGTGTTCGTCCTTGCGTGAGAGAGAGAGAGAGAGAAAGAGAGAGAGAGAGATAGAGAGATAGAGAGGGAGAGAGAGTATGCGAGCGGATGCACGTGTGCATGTGTTCGTGTGAGACGGTCAGACGAACAGACGAGATATCGTAGAGACAGATCTGATTTCAACAGTAGGCTTCCCTTCCCGAGGCTTGGAGGCGACTTTTTCTCGATGTCGTGCTTCTGTCATATTTTAAGCAGATCTGTGTCTTCCCGACTGTCCGTCAGGAGCCCAGCAATTCCTTGTCTGTCTGTCTGCCTGTCTGCCCCCCCCCCCCCCCACACACACACACAGACTGCTGGTATGTAAATAAAAGCACAACCTCTTTGACAATACAATAGCTTGGTAAACATGGGCATAATTTTACAGCACTTACAACACAGATTGGTCATAAAAGTGCCGAAGATTACACATTTTACCAGATCCGTTAAAGGAGAAGTGAGGACTATAGGAGTTCATGTCACCCTGTACGTACACATACGTATTTAATACGGGAGGTCCGTCTTCGCATCGGGAAATACGTTTTAATATTTTCTAGTATTGCTTCTCACTGACTTGTCGATGTTGAAAGAAAATTCTGAACTGTCGAGACCGGATTTGCAAATAATATCGAGAACGAAGTTTATAAGTCAACTGTACAGATCTTTTTCTGTAGGTCAATTATGAACAGTTTAAATGTATTGAATACAGAAAAGTGTGTGAAGGGTTTTGAAGCGGCTGACTAGGCCATCTTAACCCGCCGCGTGGTTACAGTCTCTTCTTTAAAAAAAAGGTTGGCAGTTTTAAAGAAGCAGACCGCACCAGAGCACCCGCCAACCACCCTCATGGACATGTATGATTAGGTTTACATTTGTAGTATATAACTGATTTTTAGGAGAGAGGGAGGGAGGTGGGGGCAACTTGTGAATATATCCAATGTGTTTGCTCTCTTGCATGATTTATTCAGTTGTCTGTCGAGGTGTGCCATTATGAGGGCACTACGCCTGGTTCGAAATGGAAAGTGATATTTGTGTGGGCGGCGAGACTGAGACGGGAAAAAAGGAAGGGGAATACTGAAGGAAGGAGTGAGAAAGTGGTTGTGAGAGAGAATTGGAGAAGAAGAAAAAGAAAAGTTGAATTGGTTGAACTGGTACGGGTAATGTGTGAAAGAGACAAATGATATTATGAGTGTGTGTGTGTGTGTGTGTGTGTGTGTGTGTGTGTGTGTGTGTGTGTGTGTGTGTGTGTGTGTGTGTGTGTGTGCATGTCTCTCTCTCTCTCTCTCTCTCTCTCTCTCTCTCTCTCTCTCTCTCTTATCACTCCCACTCCACCCCCCCCCCTTTTCAACTCAGCTAACCACCTTCTGTCGCGCCGTTAGGTATGTAATTCGTATTGATTCGGGTCACGGACTGCATCACGACATGCGCCTGTCCCGACGGCGGTCTATGATGCCCTTTAAGTGTTCACCTTCACAAGTTCACGTGCCTCGTGCCATTTCCGTTTGCACGTCTCTTCGGAGAACCACTTTCTGTATTTGTGTTATATTCTTCGATTTTTGACAGCGTTTATAGTAAGTAGTTCTTGATTTCCTGACTGGAGTCTTCACATCTCGGAGAGAACAGCAGTTGTTGCTATTCGTGCGTGGGCTGAAATTGTTGAAGGGCGTGTCAGTGGTACAGTAGGTATCATGCTGAACTATAACACAGCCTCTAAGGACACACGTACTTTTTGTTTTCCACTTTTTTAAAAACCAACACAAGTGAGGCACATAGGATATATACACTCGTTGGTGCCACTCCCCCCCCCCCCTCTCAGCCAAGTCTTGGATTATGGACTGTTTGGTATGCTTCTCCATCTACTCGACTGAAGATCAGAGATCTGGTTTCGAAGAGACACATTATTGCGTTTAAATTGACGTAGAATGCGGGGTTGTTGTTGTTGGTTTTTTTTTGGGGGGGGGGGTGTAAAAATGAAGAAAACAAGCGAGATGCAACTGAGATATTTTTAAAAAAGGGTTTTTAGTTTTGAATTCTTGACCGCTTTGTTGTTAAGCGTTGTACCTTTTTCTCCTATGTTTGAATTGTCGGTATCATGTAGGGTGAAAGATGCTGTTCTTCTAGTTCTAGCTAGACATATTTATCTGTCAGTCATGGGTTTTACGCCGTGCTCGATACAGATTGGTTGCTTTTAAAGAAATTGTTTGCCCAGTGGGAATGGTAAAAAGAAAAGACGAAGGAGGGAAAAAGGAACTCGGTATAAGATCTCATCAAAGTAAGCATCACACAAATACGTCTGTGCTTGTTAAACCTTGAAGGGTTGCACCTTCTACTGGTGTGCAGCGTGGCTATTATTCTCACAGCCC